GATTATTCCCAAATTTGGAAACTATAATAATGCATATATGAAATTGTATATAATTATACTGCTGAGATAAAGCCACTGTTTACATCTGTCTTTTTTTTTCAGTCTTTTCTCCATGCAGACATGTATCTTTTTACATAAAATTAGGCTCGGGGCACCTGGCTGGCTGTCAGTAGAGCTCATGACTTGATCTTGGAGTCATGGGTTTATGTCCCACATTGGGCATAGAACTTACTTAAAAAATAATTTTTTTAAAATAAAAATCTTTAAAGATAAAAATAAAATTAGGGTCATGTTCTCACATGTAAATTAGATTGTCATTTGCTGAAAGCCTCCAATGGTTGTCTAATACCCTCCTATAAAATCTAAACTTTCTACCTAACCTTTGCCCTGAGACATATGATCTAGGCCTACATGCCTCTTCTCCCACTCTCCTGCCTATTCTACTTAAACCTCACTAGCCTTCTTGTGGTACTAAGCTTACTTCCAGCACAGGACCTTTGCACAAGCTCTTCTTCTTTCTTCCTGGGATGCTCTCCTCTCATAGGATTGTTTGAATTACTGTTCATCACATATTCATTCACCTACTACTTCTACTCTGGATGGGATAGGTTTCCCTTTGTCATTGAGATCAGGCTTGTCAGTGTGATTTGCTTAGGAATTTGCAATAGAATGTCAGTGAACATGACACAAAGAATGGTTTACAATATGCTTGTATGACAGGGCTTGTCCTCTTGTCCCTGTCGTCATCATGAGGAGAACATGCTCCAACTAACCTGCTTGTCCAAGAAGGATGAGACTCACATGACACAGACCTGAGCATAATTTTCAAGTTGGTGCCAAGCCCAGACAAGCTCAGACTGAATCAGCTAAACCCTGTCTACCTACCTCAGAAAGAATAAATTATGTGGAGAGAATTATTTTATCTTAAACCACTGAGTTTTGCAGTGATTTGTTACCCCGTATTATGGCAACTGTTCATGGATATACTCCATATCTTTGCATAGCTTAATCTTGCACTCCATTCAGATCTTGAAACATGTGCTCCCTGCTTTGAATCAATTTCTATCCCCTTAACTCTATTTTATATTTATCCATAATATTGGTCATAATCATACATGTATCTGTTTGTCATCTTCCCCACGAGAATGGAATTTTATGAGAGCAGAGACTTTATATTGCTCACTGCAGTCTCTCCAATACCTCTAACAGTGCCTTGCACATTGTTGCTGCTCAATAAACAATTGTTAAGTGAGAGAATATTGGGACCTCCTGCTTTTTTAACATTCTTCCCAATTATTCCCATTTCCAGATCATTAGACACTTAGTTTACTTATTTTTGCTATTAGAAATATCATTATGAAAATACCATGGTACATAAATCTTTCTCTATATCCCTGATTATTTTCTTAGAATGGCTAAATCAAAGGTCTTGAGCAAATTTGAGATTCTAAATGTATTTGAACAAACTTCTCTCACTAAAGTTTGCACAGACCTGTAGAAACAAATTTTCACCAATCTTTTGCTCAAACTTAATTTTATATTTTTTTAATCAATAAGGAAGTTGAAAATGGTGCACCACTGTTTTTTCATTTTTTTGTATTGATGAGGTCAAACATTTTTATATGTATGACACATTGTTACTAATTCTTTTAAAAAATGGTATTCACATCCTTTGCCCAGTTTTTCCATTAGTATGTCAAATTTTTTTTCTAATCTTAAGAATTCTTTATAATTTAAAGCTATTAAGCATGGTGGATTGTCTCAAACACTGCAAATATTTTATTCCAGCTATTCGTTTTCCTTTAAATTTTAAACCACTAAAGCATAGTAAGTATAATATTGGCTTTCATAGTAGGGTAGAACTGAATTTGAACACCAACTCAGCCTCTTCCTAACAGTATGATCTTGATCAAAGCTTTATCATCAGGAAGCTTCAATTTCTCATCTGTAAAATGTGAAGAATAACACCTACTATGTAGATAGATGTGAAGATTAAGGTAGCTCATATATGTCTAGTCAGTTAAGGTTCTGGTTTTAAACAACATTAACTCTGGGTAATTGAAGTGAAACAATGTATTGGAAAGATACTGAGACAGCTCACCAGATTATGGAAGAGGTGCAAAAACCATGGACAAAAACCATGGGCCCAGGGGTCAGTAGCAGGAGCCTTTCCATGGACTACCCAGCTGAGGTCCATCCATTATATGACTCAATTCCCGTTGGCTTTGTCCCTGGTCTCTACACGTAATACTTAAATTCCTAGTTGAGAGATATGGCCTAATCCAGATCAAATGCCCCCCCTCTATAATCAGAAAGTGGGGTTTGATTACAGAAAGGGTGGAAAGTATGTGAGGCACACAGCCCCTCCCAAATAATCAAGAAAGAGGGGAAGGGAAGGAAGGGAGAAAGAGAAAGGGAGAGAGGAGAGAAAGAAATGGAAGGAAAGGGAGAAGGAAGGGGTGGGGCAGGAGGGAGGCGAGCTACTCCTGTAAAGTGCTAAGCTCTGTATCTGCCCCTTTAGTAAATTCACAAAAATAGTAGCCATTCATATACTATGCAACATTTTTCTCTGGATTTTATACTTATATAAAAAAGAGAGAGAGATTCCATTGAAGTCAGAATCTTGAATAAGTTTCTCATGGTAAGTTATCTTTTGCTCTTATTGAACTCATTCCCAAGAGAGCCAGCCCTTGAATCAAGCTGAAAATCTTCAGCTTTCTAAGAGCTTAATGCTTAGTAGTAACCATAAAGCAGCACCAGGCCTCTTTCGTAGACTCTGTTTCCCTAGGATAGACTGTTCATGTTTAATTGTGTTCTTGAATAGTACAGAATCCTGAATGGAACAAGTATTTGAAGACAACCTTTCAGAAGATCCAGTATTTCAAAGCCAAAGTAGAAATGCCAGAATATGAAGCTTTCAAATTTATATAATACAACCAAGATGGAAAATCCTCCAAAGATATTATCCTTGGACAGGACTTAACCTTTCCAAGACTTAATTCCCCATCCTTAAAATAGGTTTAATGGTATCCACCTCTCATGATTACTCTGAAGATTAAAACACGATGAAAGTAAGATTTAAATTGTAAGTACCTTATAATAAAAATTCACTCTCCCTCTTTTCCCTGTGAGTCAATTGAAAGCACAATGAAGACCTCCATTGCCTGATTTTAGGTACATATATAAGTATATAGCATATAATGAATGGAGTATACTAACAAAGGCCATAATTCAGTTATTTAAAAGGAGGCCTACAAACCACCCTGCCAGCATCCCAACATGATGTTATTCCTCACAGCAAGCCTGCAAGTTCCATCTTACAGACGAAAAAAGTAAAGCTCAGAAAAGCAAGGAGCATGTCAAAATTCAAACACAACTCTGACTCCAGAGCTCATGTCTTTGCACTAAGCCACATTACCTCCTAAGAAGAGAAGATGATCCATAAAGAGATTATTCTAGGACTAGACAACACCATGGTCAACTGCTCAAGACTGTGATCTGTTCAGCCAGTGCTCTGAAAGGACAGGAAGCACCAACAAGTTGTTTATGTATCTAACCTCAGCCCCTGGCTTGGTGCACAGGTGACATTCCGTATGGATGTGTGCAATAAATCTTGTCTGCAGTTTCATGGAGGGGAGATTCCAAATACCACTAAACAGTTCTAGAAAAAGGGTTTGAGGAAACCATCGAATTTTAGCTTGGTGAAATTCCTTCATCTTCCCTTCCCCATCCAAAATAAGAAAGAGGAAGAAAATGAAGAAAGAAGGCCCACCAAGCCCTATAAATCTGTTACCAAGAGTTTGCATGGGTGGTAGCCTTTGACCTTTAATTTTTTGCTCTGATGGGTCACAGTATTTGAAGTCAACCTTTCAAAGAATCTGGTATTTCAAAGATGAAACGGACACTCTAGGTTGCCAAGTTTTAAAATACCGTAGACATCGAATTATTTGTATGATACAAACATGGCAGAAGATCATTCAAAGAGATTGATCCTAAAGTATACGTGATTTGGATAGTCACAGCCCTAAGAGGTAGTTCCAACAGTTCTCTGAATTGGAGCTAAAGAAGTATATGGCATACGTATCTATTTTATTTTAGCATTTGGAGATGAATTTTTTTTCAACCACACTTACGGAACAGAGTATCAGACTCTTACAGGGAAAACCAAGAGGGGTTCAAAATGCACAGAGCAACTCCTCTCTCTCCAAAGCACGCCATCCAGCTAGATTCTGAATGAGAGCGCGCTCCAACAGGATTGGCGTCAACCCCACCCATCCCTGGAGGAGTCTGGTTATTAAATTATTTTTCAAAGACTCGTCTTCCCCCCAGTCTTCAGAGGCTGTACAGCTGGGAGCCATTAGCTGTAATCAGTGGGCAGCCAGCAGAAAGAGGAAGCAGTGGGGGAATGCTCCGTCTTTCTGAGGCAGCCATCTGGGCAGAGTGAATTTGGTTTGAAACCCTAGGGGGTGGAGGAAGTTATTGGGATCTTGTTATATTTGGACTTGACTTCAGATCCTAAACAAAAGGTCTTTTTTCACCCGAGCTTTGCTTTCTGGAAACCAGAGTCAAGAGGGAGCAGAAGTAAGCTAGTGGCCATCTCGCAGGACATTGTGGTCAATGCAGACAAAGTCTGAATACAAAACCCAAACACTAGCTGGTCGGGAACCTATTTCTGGCTTAGAGTTTTGAAAGAAAGGAGGAACACATCCTACTGTGGGCAGTCTCTTTTTGTCTTCCCTGTCCAGGTGTGCAAAGAGAAACACACCTCTTCCACTCCCCACCCCACCCCCCACCAAAAAAATAGGATTATGCTTGTCTTTTAAGTTCTCCATACATATGACAAGATGTCACTTTTGACTTGTTTCAAAATAGAAGTACCGTATTTTTCATTTGATCCTCTCTCTCTTCTCTGAGGATGTTGGCAATATGTGTATTAAATGAAGAGCAAGAACGCACTTTGAGGCCAGAAACCTGGGTCGGATTCTGGTTCCACTACTTACCGACTGTGTGGCCTCCGCAAGCTAGGTCAGCTCTGGACCTCTTCTCCCCCATCTGTAAAATAAGGGTAAAAAATAGATGTATCCTAAGGTTGTTCGAATTAGTGAAGTTGTGCACCAAATACCCAGCATACTCCCCAGAACACAGGAAGCATCCAACAATTGATGACTTATTCCTGTTTACAATATTTACAACCAAACTCTTAGTAAAGGTGGTAAAATTCACCAAATGATTTCACAGGATTTTGAGAGGGAAACTTACAGAGTGAGTTAAATATGGCTTATCCCTCCAAATCAGAAGCCCCTAACTTGGGGATCTATGGACCCAAACATCACTTATAGATGTATTTTGGCCTCCTAGGATTTTCTTTTTTAAGATTTATTTTTATTTATTCATTTGAGAGAGAGAGCGAGCACCTGAACATGAGGGGCAGAGGGAGAGGGAGAGAGAATCTCAAGCAGACCCTGAGCTCAATCCCATGACCATGGGATCACAACCCAAGCCAAAAGCAAGAGTCAGACGCTCAACCAAATGCACCACCCAGGTGCCTCTAGGGTTTTCTTTTTTTTTTTTTTAATTTTTTTGAGCACCTTAAAATGCAGATTTCACACTAAAATATATTATTTCCAGCTTTCCTTGGAAAAATGAAAATTTAGCCACCCCAGGCCAGCATTCCTGGATGGCACAAAGGGCTAGGACTAACTGGGTACTGTCTCCCTCAGATGTGCTCTTCTGTCTGCCACAGTCCCCTCCCTCCCAACTGTGGGATTCTGACCCTGCTACCCTGACTTACCTTTTCAGGCATTTGAATCTGGGACACCTTTTCTAACCCTCTGCGCCTAAGTGCAGACGGTGAAAGTAAGAGAAACATGAAGGTGCTTTCTGAAGAATGCTGAGTTCGTAGTTGTAGGTCATGAAGGAAAAAGAAAATCATCTTGAGTTAGGGGATTAGTAGGACATGGGGCACCAGACCCAGTGACTCCCCCAGGCACTTGGAGACTTGTCATTTAATTTCAACAAGTCTCGAGTTCCTGACACATAAAAGGCAGCTAATATTTACTCTGACATTTCACAAGGTGGATACAAGGATCAACTAATGTAATGTATGTGAACAAACTGCAAAACGCTTTGTAGAAATGAAAGGTAGATTATCAAAGAGAATGGACACAATATTCAGAGGAAGAAAGTAATTTACTAGACCATTTCTAACAGATCTTTCCGGAAAATCACACAACTAAAAGAGGTCTTTAAAATAACTTAATCTAGGGGCACCTGGGTGGCTCAGTCAGTTAAGTGTCCGACTCTTGGTTTTGGTTCAGGTCATGCTCTCATGGTTGTGAGATCGAGCCCCATGTCGGGGTCTACGTTGAGCATGAAGCCTGTTTGAGAGTCTCTCTCTCCTCTCCCTCTGCACTCCCCCACCCTCCCCTGCTTGCACACACACTCGCTCTTCCTCTATCTAAAAAATAAATAAATAAATAACTTAATCTAGCCCTCAATATTACAAATGAGCAATCTGAAACACAAGAAGCAGCTCTCAGGAAGCTTACAATTTTTTTAAAAAGTTTACAATATAGTGAAAAAGAAATATTTGGAAAAGGTGTTCACTGAAGAGATGTCTAAAACCAGATGAGCCTCTATTAAGTCCAGGGGTAGAAATATTCACCAGGAGCAAATGTTTTTTAAATAACTTAAACAGTTTCTGCCTTGGATTTCAAACTCTAAGGGTAATAGGCATTTCCTCACTCTGGAGAAAAGGATGGAACAGGACATATGTTAAAAAAACAGGCACAGAAGATGTCTCTCCCCTTGAGTGCTGAGTTCCATGGATGGGACAAGACAATTTGCAGAAAAGAACTATATGTCTTTCTAAAGAGGGAAAACTCAATCCAAACTCCAAGATTCATAGTTAGGACATCTGTCAGAAGGACCAGACCAGAATGACCCTCCCCAGGGTCCACTGGCAAGAAAGGCAAGTCTCTAAAGGAACTCACCAAGAAATAAGGGGTCAAGGGTCAAACCAAGGATCTAAGAGTCTGGTAAGTGTGAGGGGAGGCTGGAAACCCTTTCATGCCATTTTGGATCTTTCTAAAACCAGACACCAAGACAGGATTAGATATGCAAGAGATTTATTGTGTGAAACGGTCCTCAAGAGTAGAGGGGAGATGGGGTGCCTGGGTGGCTCAGTTGTTAAGCATCTGCCTTCAGCTCAGGTCGTGATCCCAGGGTCCTGGGATCGAACCCCACATTGGGCTCCCTGCTCAGCAAAAAGCCTGCTTCTCCCTCTCCCACTCCCCCTGCTTGTATTCCTGCTGTCAAATAAATAAAATCTTAAAAAAAAAAAAAAAAAGAGTAGAGGGGAGGAACAAGAGGAGGTGAGGAGTGTGTCCAGACTAGGATGCAGCACTCACACCAGCAAAGGGAGGGAGAGAAGCAAGCAGGTGTAAGTCCTGAGGACTTGGGAGAAAATCTGGAATCGTGAGTTGGGACTGGGTCAGGAGCTTTATCCAGAAGGAAGTGGGAAGTATCAAGGCTTTGAAGGAGGGGTGATGCCATTAAAACCATTGGGAAGAGCACTGTGACCAGAGCCCCGTGCCTGGTGGTTTGAAGGCAGAGAAACAGACCTGCGGGTTATGGAATTAGCTTAGGCAAACTAACAAAAGGACGGAAATGGTTATAATACTAAATATGGAAGAGTTGAGTGTTAGGGAAATAGAGAATAAGCAAATTCCCATCACAGAGATGGTTTCCAGAAAGAGGGACTCCAGAGACAGGATGGAAATACAGATAAGAAACCAGTGTAAGCAGCTTTTATCTTAAGGATTCTATATTTGGACTAATCCTGCAGCAAATGAGGTTAAGAAATGTTTATGTTAGAAGATTTGCATGTAGAGCACTGTTTTCCTCTTCTCGGTTTCAGGGCACCCAGACAGAAGAAATTAAGTGTAATTAAATATAAAAAGTATCAATTAGCACTGATTTGCCCATCCTCCGAGAGAAATGGCCAGTTGGGACTGAGTGATCTAATCCTCAATCAAGCCTCCGAAGGAGTCAGAAAGCAGACATCCATCTAATCCCAATGGGAAGATATCACAGGAAAGTCAAGGGTCCCTGATAAGCAAACAGGATTCCGCCCCCTCCCAGGGCATTATGATGGTTAAAGTAATAACATTTGATGTCCTGTTAAATTATGCCCACAAATCTGAGAGCCTGGAGTGAAGTCCTGAATGATGTTTCACTCCCACCTATCACTGAATATTCAAAATCTTTCCATATCCGAAAAGAATAAGCCTGATAATCTGACAGAATAAACACATTTAGCAACAGGTCCCACTTTTGTTAGTTTTTACCAAGTAGATTCCAACAATCACTTCCCCATTCTCAAGGTGACTTCACATCGCAGTGCTGAATGGCATGTTCCTAGCTTGCAACGTTCTGTTCCTTCTGCAGTCACCCATACCAGCTCCCCCCCAATAGCTTTGTGATTCTGCTGGCCCATTTCTCGGCTCTCCTTGTTCAAGGAGAATCACATTTGTGCACCACCAGTCAGTGGTTTTAGGGCCTTTTCTGGTTGACGTAGTTTTCCTCCATTTTCCCCTGTCCTTAGTATCCACCTTACCCTCCACCAACAACATATACTCATCCTTTGGGGGATGTTCTGAATATAGGGCAGATGCTCTACCAAAGAGTTATTATACTGAGTTTAACAACATACAATAATTAAGGCAGCTGTTTATATAGTAATGCGGCATACCCAAACCTTACCCACTCAGCCCCAAATCCTGAGCACATCTGAGTTTACTCAGGTGCCTAGCTACCTCCAGTCTGAATGACCCCCGCCCCCATTCTTCTGGGATAACTCCTGCTTTAGTAGATAAAACAAAGGTTCCAGGCCACACACACTGCAGGAGATCTAGAGCGTCCCTCAGATCTAGATCTGGCCCTGCCTCCCTGGAGTCAGTCCACTCCACAGCCTGCCATCCCTGCTCCTCCATTCCCAGTATCTGTGACAGGTAGACCCCCCCCCCAGTCCTATCCCCCCTCAACACACACTGGACACCGTAGTTTTCCCACATTTCCTGAAACGTCTCTAACAAGAGCATGCATGTAGAATTCTGCTAACAGCTGGAGTGTAATGGACAACAGCCCAGGGCAGGAAAGGGCTTCCTTTCAGTATCAGACAAAGGTAGACGTATACTGGCCATTCTTGACTAAAGTAAATTTTTCAGGAGCCATATTCCAGCACAGACCACGCCCAGCTTCCCTCCACGTTCTTGGGAGCTCCTGCTGACACCACCCACCTCACTTCATTCCCTCCCCATTCACAGACCCTAGCCCCCTCAGTTTTACTCTACTATGCAGAACAAGAAGGCACTGTCTTTGTCCCCTCTGCCTCCTCCTCAATGTGCCCAGGAAGTCTTGTTTTTCTCAACCAAAAGGCTTATCATCAGGGCTTTTTCAAAGGCAGTGGAATTATTCCCATGGGAATAATCTGTCATTGCCTTAGAAGATAAAAATAGTAGCAACTTTTTCATTTCGTAGTAATTTTTTTGTTCGCTTTGTAATGGCGAAGCATGTATGAAGTCTTTTAATTAGGGCACAGGTCCCCAAAATTCACCCTGTGATGTCCTGGGGATGCTCTCCTGTAGGCCTGAGGGGTGCGGGACCCAGCCGTAGTCAAGAGCCATGCTAGCTGTGGGCTGACTCCACTCTGAAATCCATCCACAAGACCACCAACACCAGTGATCTCTCCAAGGCAGAGGAAATTTATTTTATTCCTTTGCCAAGCCATCTTTTATTCTACGCCCCCCGCCCCCCGCCCCCCGCCAGTGATACCCTATTCAAACCCTCAGCCAGGCAGAACATCCCCCTTGTCCTCCTATGGTGGCCATGCTGTCCAAGCAACCCCCAGACACCATTCCTCTAATTCTGCCGCAGCACCTGGTCGTGAGCTTGCTGGTTGCACCAGTGTGACCTCCATGTGCCACACGAAAGTTCTTGAAAGCTCCCTTTCCAGAGGACTCTCCAGGCTGACCCCTGCCATGTGAACTTAG